TAAATATTCTTGTTTGCCCGTGGTGACATGACGAGGCTCCATTAAAAATAAACCTATTTTTATTGAATTACTGAGTTTAGGCATGTTAATAAAGTTTTAATGAAGTTGACTACAGCAAATTCATATTTGTTAGTGCTTTCATGTCAATTTGGCGAACATATGATACATTAAATGATCGTGAGGATGATGATTAAAAATCGTTTGTTTGAGCCGGGCTGGATTTCCTGATGAAAAAACAAACCGATTGTTTTTGTAGTACGCCAACGTGGATTAAACAACATTATTTTGTTAAATAAAAACATGGTGATATTTTGTAAATGATTACATGTCTCTTATTTAGCACAGAATATGATCCTATCCGTGACATATGGATCTTAACAAAGATCCGCTATAGAGAGGCGAAGTCCCTCCCCTTCCGGGGACCTCCATGGGACCTTATTTCGGAAAAAGTATGTATTGGAGAGTCAATGGAGAGAGAAAACTTATCTTTCGATCCCATTTGAATTGTGCCATGAATTACACATATGATGTTTGTCAATCTTAACAAATAATTTCCATGTCAAAAAAGTCACAGTTTGTCGTAAAACTGTTGAAATATAAGACTATGAAAAATACGCAACTAGAAAGACTACAAATCCCAGAATCCCGGTCCCGCATGCTGGCTCTTAGGAACCGACTAACTCCCCTTGTGTGTATGTACAGCTCTCAACATGCCCAGACTTGTAGTGATTTTCACCTCTTTTAATACTTTTCGCCTCATTCTGAAAGAAAGAAGTGAAATGTGCCAACGTGACGGCCGTCTTGGTGTGTGGTGCGAGACGGGAGATGTAGTTCATTGAGCGGTTTCACACAAAAAAAGTGTTACTTCACAGTTTTACGACACATTTTTATTTTTTTGACTTGCAAAATTATCTTTTAAATTGACAAACATCATATGTGTAATTCGTGGCTCAATTCAAACGGGATCGAAAGATAATCTTTCTCTGACTTGACATTGACTTCAATGCATAACTTTTCCAAAATAAGGTCCCATGGAGCTGGACCGGAAGGGGAGGGACTTCGCCTCTCTATATCATATATATCTATCAGCTGTTTATTTCACCTGAGTTCCAGTGTGGCAGCTTTTTAACCTGTTAAGCTCTGAGCCTGTTTTTCAGGTCTCAGGCTCGAAAATGCCATTCCCAGAACAAATGACCATATCTTCCCTTCTAAAAGGGTTAAATTAATAATCTTTTTTCTCAAAGTAATGATAAACCTGTGAGTTGGATGTAGAAAAGTCAGAATCAATATAGATGTTTTTTATTTTAAAGAAAATTCAGATTTTACATAGTAAAAAACTGTAAATTATAGTGTCCGTCCAAAAATTATTTTTTACTTAGTGAAAACTACCCTTGGATGATGGGTTAGTAGACTAAAAGCTTTAGGAATCCAAAGTACAACATATAATAAGTACCCTGTATCAAGATTGATGCAAAACAAGTGACATTTGACCTTTTTAGAGAGGTTTAGCCAAAACCACTCTACCTCTGAGGTGATTTGGGTGAAAATGTTTTTTTTTTTCATATCTCTGGCCCCCCTTGGTCGATTTTGATGGTTGACACCTCTTTCTGACCGTTAGAGCCAATATAATCGAAAGGGGAGGCCCCCACATAGTTTATTAAATATTAAGATTCCGTAGACGTTGTTTCCTGCAAATGACGCGTTTATCCGCCCGGTACCGGGGGGGGGGCGGTGCGTAACAGGTTAATCACTGCGCCCCCTGGTGGATCCATGATCCATTGCAGCTGGTTTCATTATAATTTATCAAGGGGGCGTATCAAGTCATGCGGGGGGTTTTCCTTTCTGCGAGGGCCGACGCCGTGCCGATCACGGCCCCACTGCGGTAGGGACGTCCGAAATTAGGTGCTACATCTGTACATGCACAAAAACCTATAGAACACACTACAGGAGAGGGAAAACCACAAAAAGAGTCTAAAGCCTCATCAATGTACTGTGATGTTTGTTCTTCTTTTAGTGCTGGATTAAATCACAAAGTTATATTTTGAAAAAATATTGTAAGTTTCCAGACATTTTCAAAAAATCTTTCATTACAGTTGTCTCAACAGGTTGCAGACCGTGACTTGTCTGTGCCCATATTAACTTAGATCAACATCCAAATATTACCCAAGATATTCAGGTTTTTTTTTTTATTTGATTGGCTGCGTGTGAACATATTTTCACATTGGCAATAACTTGGACAAGCTCTTATCTCACTTATGAGAAACCTGAGCGAGATGCGTGCCTGAGATTAGCTGGGATGCTGAGGCACGCACACCTTATCTTGTTTACTGTCGGGTTCTGCTGTCTGCCTAAACTCTGTTTCCATGGAAATATTAGGATTACTGCATGCTGAAATACTCTGAATATTTTTAATTTCTGTATGAATCAATCGAATACTGCCGATGATTTGATTGCAGTGATTTCTGAAAATGCTTCTCTTGTTTTCCCGTCGCTCTGCCTTGTTTTCATCATTCATACTTGTATTTTTTTAAATGTCTGTCCCTTATAACATTTTGGTCATTATTCTCCTTGTAGCTAAACGAGCCTTCTCTCAGAAACATGTACACACAGGAATAAACTCCCTAATATTGCACAATGAGGTCAAAGGTCAAAGTTGGTCTTCACTGCCCCGCTAAAGGGCCCTTGAGCCAGGACCATGCCTATATAGGGGGCTAGAACCTCAGTGCTCCGGTGTGGAAGACCCTCTTCATGCTCCCCACTCAATCTCAAAGAACTAACCGGGGGAAATCAAAGTTAAATAAAGAAAATGAAAAGGAGAATGAATAATCACCGGTGAGCGAGGCATGGAGCTGTATCTCAACAAATCTTATTTGGATTTTTGGGAGCTGGGAGCGCACGAAAAAGAGAGAAGAGAGCAATTAGGAAACATAGAGGGAGAGTAGGGGGAGAATGGGGGCGGGGGGATACAGGAGACAGGAGGGAGCAGTGAGGAGGAGAAGACAAATTGAAAAACTTGAGGTCGGTGACAAAACACACACACATCGAAAATGTCCTCACAAAACGAGTTGTTACTCAAAACTTGGTCCTCACAAGTGCAGCAAAACAAACGCACACACACAAAACTAATGTTAATTGTTCATATAACACGCTGCTCATACCAAACACCTGCATCACCATCTGATGACAGGATGAAACACTGCAGACATATTCAGCAACTGTGAAACTCCAAATGAAATATTTTACTAATGTTGTCTTTTTTTTCAGTGTCATGACGTTATTCAGCACTTACAGAACAGTCTGAGAGTCTGAGTAAGATTATCCTTCATCCCCAATTACCCAAAGTTCCTGCTTTAATGCTTGGTATTTTCTGAATTAATTTAAACTCAGCCACTCTAGTTTTTACCTAATCCCATTGTTGTTATTTATATTTAAGGTGTCACTTCTTATTATCCCTGTGTGAATTATTATTATTATGCCTGTCGATCCTGTTTCATCACACCTGAATTTCCTTACAGCGATTATTTCAATTGATCTCATCTTATATGAACATAAATACATAATATAACATTATAATTAAAATAGGGTATGGTTGAAATGTTTCTTTAAAGTAGTGCCAAAAGGATTTCCAGGATTCCGTTCTGATTGCCTTAAGGAATATTCACAATTTTATACATGGTCCCTCCATTAAGGAGGCGGTTGTTAAATTACAGGCTGTTTTTAACATTATTCAGACTCAGCTCTCTGAACTTAGGCTTCTTTTAAATGTTGATAAAACCAAGGTAATGCTTTTTTCAAAAGCTAAAAAGACACCAGAGCCTGTTTTAGATATTGTTACTATGCAAGGACAAGTACTAGAAGTGGTTGCCTGTTATAAATACCTAGGTATCTGGCTTGATGATTGTCTTACTTTTAATGTCAATAACCTGCTTAAAAAGCTGAGGGTTAGGCTAGGTTTCTTTTTCAGAAACAAGTCCTGTTTCTCACTTGAGGCCAGGAAAAGGCTAGTCACTGTGACCTTTTGACCTGTGCTGGACTATGGTGATTTGTTGTATATGAATGCACCTGCCCATTGCCTGAACAAGTTAGATGCCGCCTATCACAGCGCACTGAGATTTGTCACAAATTGTAAAGCACTTACACATCACTGTACCCTGTATGCCAAGGCAGGTTTGCCATCACTTACTGTACGGAGGCTCACTCATTGGTACACATTTATTTATAAAGCTTTGTTGGGTAAACTCCCGCTCTCTGATAACACAGAGAGTTGCAAGCAGCTATTGTCTGAGATCGCATGATGTAGTATTGTTAGATGTGCCAAGAGCAAGGACTGTCTTAGGTAAGACAGCTTTTATGTGCGCAGCTCCACTTGCTTGGAACAATCTTCAGCAAGAATTGAAACTGAGCAATCTCATTCCTCTGCATGTTTTTAAAGCTAGGCTAAATGAAATGCTCGTTGATACTATGGGTACTTGTAAATGTCTATAACTATGTAAATGTATCCTGTAAATATAATGTATGATGTCCTTTATTGTTTTATGTTTCATGTGGAACCTATATGCTGCAGGTCTCCCTTGAAAAAGAGATCTATGATCTCAATGGGACCATCTGGTTAAATAAAGGTTTGAAATTAAAATGAAATACAAAACTGTTCAACTGTCTGAACACAAGCAGCCGTTGGAGAACTTCTCTTATCAAATCAACTAATAATCTGATCAAAAACAAGCCAACTAAATAAGGAAAACACACTTGATGTCATTTAAAAATGTGTTTTTTTGTTTTGTTTTTGATACTTTGTGCTCAGTCACGTGTTGGTAAAACATTAACATTGAAAGTACAGAGACTAAACTCAGACCTGTGTACGTTTAAAAAATCTGAATAAAAATCATACGTTCTAAGTGTCAGCAGCACCCTCACCCTAACCCTTTTTATGTACCGGTAGTTATTTCTTCTACAGTAAAAAACATTTCAGATGCCACAGTTAGTGTTAACACAACACTTACTTGTTTCTTCTGGAGCTTTCAACCACATCTCAGGCCTGGCGTCAGAATGGAATATGGCTTCCTTGACCTTTATCCAAGATGTCCACCGAATCCTGGGGAATGCCAAGAGATTTGGTTCAAAAATGTTCTACTTGAAAACATTTATTTACTTTTAAACGCCAATTAGAGCAAACTAAATATTCCACAACTTTTTTACCGACTGATTAATCACTGAAGCCAATCTTCAAGGGAAATGCCAAAAATGTAATTTTATAGCTTCTCAGATGTGAGCATTACATTCTTTTACTTGTTAAATATAATTGTTAATTTAAGATTTAGGGGGTTTGGACTGTTAACTGCAGCTTCAATTATTGTCTTTATTAACATAGTAATTTGCTCTCTAAAATGGCAGAAAATAGTGCAAAATAAAATGTCCTAAAGCTCAAGGTGATGTGTTAAAATGTTTTGTCAAACTAAAACCATACAAATAAGTTAACTTCCACAATAAAAATAAGTTGATAGGTGTGTCACATATAAAAATAACCACAGGTGCATTTGGGATTTTAAGGCAGCAGGATCACATTCTGCTCTGCAATCATTGACTTTTACTGTCCCGTAACACAACATGAGTTATACTTATGACTAATACCAATTCATCCGCAGGTCTCAAGCTAAATACTCCATTTCAATTTGTAACACAGTAATTCATCGGATTGAATCAGTTGTTTTTTCTGGTTGACCCATGCATCATAAAAATGCAGCCACAAAGCAAATATAATTCTACAAATAGTACATTATAATAATAATAACATGATAATCCTTATCAGTAACTGTGCAGAAATACATGGTTTGAACAGATTTGAATGTCTATTTTATCAATTAATTATGAATCTTCATAATACTCAGATGTAAAACTGATTTTAAAATAGTACATAAAGATTGGACGATGTAGGATTTTTTGACATAGCAAACTCTTACAAAGAGTTTGCTAATTGCTCATCGTGAACGGCCTCACACGAGTGACATGAACAAGTTGTATAACTCGCTATCATGATTTAAAAAATCAAGGATAAAAAAAAAGTTAGAATTCTATTATGACATTACATTGCATTTAGCTGACGCTTTTATCCAAAGCGACTTACAATAAGTGCATTCGACCAAGAAGATAAAAACTTGAAGAAAACAGAATCATATAAGTGCATCAGGTTTCATAGAGCCAAAACATTTGTGCTACTCAACTGGCTTTAGATAAGCCAGTCCTTTATTAGTATACAAGTGCTTTGTTAGTAATTGTATTGCTCGAAGTGGAGTATTATACCAGTATTCCAGGGGGGGTGGCACTCCACGTGGGGGGTACATCATTATTTGCACTAGCAACATGGCTGAATATCAAGCACTTCGGCCATGGTCGGCATGTAATCTACAGTACATTCATCTGGCACTCCTGGCAGACTCTCTCCAACACAAAAAAGGGACACAAACGAAAAAAGGAGAATATTGGGCTATTGGCTCCGCTGTGTCTCTTGCTCTCGGGAGATATCCACCCGTGTCCGGGTCCCGGCGTCGTTTCCATCGACCTGACAGCTGGCGGCTGAGCTCCACACGCCGCCGGCCGATTTCCGAAGAGGCTGGCTAGCTGAACAGCTAGCACCACCAGCGGGTCTCTGCGGTCTGGCGCTGACGGCTGCCGACCTAGCAGCAGGACCTCTACCCACACCGTCGGAGGACTGCGGGTCCGCGCCGAAGGCTGGTAGCCGAGTAGCAGAGATCCACATACAACCATATAACTTCAGAAGAGGCCGGATAGCTCCCACACCATCGGAGAACTGTGGGTCCGCGCCGGGGGCTAGCGGCCTAGCAGCGGAGATTCACGCATCACCGGCTGGCTTCAGACGAGGCAAGCTAGCTGAACAGCTAGCTCTGCCGACGGGTCTCTGTGGTCTCGCGCTGACGGCTACTGGCCTAGCAGCAGGATGCATCTCCACACCATCGGAGGACTGGGGGCCCGCACCGAAGGCTAAAGGCATAGCAGCGGAGATCCACGCATCGCCGGCTGGCTTCAGACGAGGCAAGCTAGCTGAACAGCTAGCTCTGCCGGAGGACTGTGGGTCCGCGCCGATGGCTAGCAGCCTAGCAACAGATAACCACAAACCAACAGCTAGCTCTGTCTGCTCCACTGTCAACAACTGCACCGAGGTAAAGCCTAGAAATCCGGTATTTAAAAAACACTGTTACACAAAAATGTTTCAAACAGTGAATCAAGCGAAAATAGTGTGGGATCCTCGGTGTAAGCCGAAGGGACTATTCAGTGGACATTTACATTTCCGCAGCATTTGCAATAAACATGAATCGCTAGAACATCTCCTCCTTCAGTCCAATATTGACTGTTTGGGAATATCTGAATCTTGGCTAAAACAGTCGTCACCATCCACTCTTGTATCTATGTCAGGATATAATGTGTTTAGGAAGGACAGACTGAAGAGAAAAGGAGGGGGTGTGTTGCTTTATGTACCATTACTTGTAGGGAGATTGCTCTTCCAGCTAATATTGAGTTTGATTGTGTTGGTGTGGAAATCACACTATCTGAGGAACTGTCCCTCACCATGATTTGCCTATATCGACAACTCACCGCTAAGGTGGATTTCTATGTTCAGGTAAAACTCATGCTGAATTCCTGTGACTCCAACAAAGAGCTAATCATTTTAGGAGACTTTAACATAAACTGGAATGACAAACGAAATAGAAATAACTTGAAACGGATCACGGATAAACACAACTTAATACAACTAATGGATCAACCGACTAGAATAACCAAAACCTCTAAGACTATGATAGATTTATTATTTACTAACAAAGCTGACAGAATAGTTCAAACCTACAACTTCCTGACTGGTCTTTCTGACCATAATCTTGTTCTTTTTACCAGGAAACTCACAGAAAAAGGTTCATGGCCACACCTAAAACCCCTGCCTTGGGTTCACGCTTCATCCCCAAAAACCTGCAACAACATTTTATGGATGCAGTGAAAATAATTAATTGGGGGGACACTCTGTCCTCTGAAGATATTGGTGAAAACAGTGATCTGTTTATATCTAAAATTAATGATACAATGTCTTCCTTCTCAAGGAGAGGGTGCCTTAGGGACAGGAAGGAACATCATCTTCCCTGGCTGAATCTGCAGTGCAGGAATTTAATGAAATCTAGAGACCAACTATTAAAGCAGAGCTTGAAATCCGGACTATCCACTGATAGACAGAAATTCACTCATGCTCGTAACAAGGTAACTCAAACAATAAGACAGGCCAAAGCGAACTTCTTCATCAATATAATTGAAGGTGCGAAAGGTAACGGTAAAAAAGTTTGGCAAATCTTAAATAAACTATTAGGTAAACAAACCAAACAGGAAAATAATGCTCTAGAATTAAAAATCAATGATGCCCTGATAAAAGACCCTGCTGTATTGGCCAACTCTCTCAATGAGTATTTTATAAATAGTGCTCTGGACATTACAAAGCTCTTCCCGCCATCTGAGGTCTCCCATAGCCCAACTGTGGATACACATCCAGTTTTTGACCTGGAGGAAATCACAGAGGTTGAGGTAAAAAATATAATCTTAGGGTTAAGAGGTTCTAAGGCTAGGGATGCAGATGATTTAGACACCAACTTTATAAAAACACATATCGACGGTCTAATAAAACCAATTACTATGCTAGTGAATCATTCTATCAGCACGAGGGAAGTTCCATCATCCTGGAAGGTGACCACGGTGACACCGATCTTTAAATCTGGGGATAAGGCAATGATGTCCAACTACAGACCAATCAGCATCCTCCCCTGTGTCTCTAAGGTAGCTGAGAAATGGGTGTCAAAACTAATCACCAAACATTTAGATAAAGGTTTCGCTCCACTCCACCCAATGCAGTTTGGTTTTCGTGCTCACCACTCCACTGAGACAGCTAACTGTGTCTTTGTGGAAAAGGTTAAATCTATGTTGGACACGAGCTCATATGTAGGTGCTGTCTTCCTTGATCTCAGGAAGGCTTTTGACACTGTTGACCACCAAGTGCTCCTTAGAAACCAAGACTCATTTCAATTTTTCGGCAGTTTCTATACATTGGTTTAAGTCTTACTTATCTAACAGAAAACAGTGTGTTTTGGTCAACGGTGCCAAATCCCCCTACCTTGTCAACCCTGTTGGGGTTCCACAAGGTTCCATTCTTGGACCATTACTGTTTTTACTGTACATAAATTACTTGCCTAATGTATGTCTTGAGTTGAATGTGCAAATGTATGCCGATGATGCGGTCATCCTTGTACACGGGAAGAACACTGAAATGATCTCATCTTGTCTCTCAAAAGCTTTGGACAAGGTTCAACACTGGCTGAACAACATTTGCTTACAGTTATACGTAAAAAAAAAACAGTATGCATGATGTTCAGTAAACGACCAGTCAAAATCGAAGGATCCAACATGTTTTTAAACGGAGCAGAAATAGAACTTCTCCCACTTCAAGTATCTTGGACTCATATTGGACTGGAACTTGACTTTTAAGAAACATATTAAGAAAGTATCCAATACCGTTAAATTCAACTTGCAACATTTTAAACAAATTAGACCTTTCTTAACTGTCAGTGCTGGAAAGTCATACCTCCACTGTATGATTCTATCCCACATTGAATACTGTTTGACAAACTGGTCGTTTGCTTGTGCCACAAACCTGAAACCAATAGAACAGCTGTACAAGAGAGCTATCAAGGTGTTTGACAGAAAGCCAAATTCATACCACCACTGTACCATCCTTGAAAAACACAATTTCTTAAGTTTTGACCACTTTAAGTCTTTTTAAAGTCTTTTTTTTTATATAAATGTTTACATGGACTAGCGCTAGCCAATAGAAACGTGTTAAGGCCCGGACACACCGGGCCGATTTCGGCCGTCGATAGATGTCTGGCCGTCGATGAGCGTCCTGTCGCCCTACTCAGATTGGTGTGTCCAGCACCGTAGTGTCTTTTCGGCCGTGCCGACACCTTCCGCTCCCGAATCGGGAGGCTTTCGGCAAAATAAATCACTCTGATTGGCTGTTCAGCTTAGCGAATCAGTGCATGACAAGCG